ACAGCTGGAAGGAGACCGAGAGGTCTGGTGGCCTGATCTCTTTTGGCAGAGGGCCTCCAGGCTGTGGGGGACCCTGGAACCTGTGGGTGTAGCACCCACCAGGACGGTGTGACAGGGCCCGCCATTTGTGCTCCTGTGACTTTGGGCAAGTCACGGGCCCTCCGTGACCTCCGTGTTGCCTCTGTAGGTTGCAGCTAATCATTCCCTGCCCTCTCCGCCCTTCGCCCACTGTGCGAGTGTGAGCTGAGAGCCTTTGGGGTATATAGATTGCTACACTGACATAAGGGACTTGGTACACTCTGCTGCCCTCCCTCAGCAATCACTGACTGATCCTGTCCAAAGCATGGAAGCTCGGCCTGGGCCCCACATGTCCTCCTGGTGACCCCAGGATTTAGGGGCAATCATGAGCCCCCAGATTCTGTATCTCACATGGGCCCTGTCATTCCACTCCCACCGAGCCCTGTTAATTCATAGGAAAATTGGATTTCCGGATCGCCAAGGTCAGAGCTGAAAGAGATCATGTTCAACTATTCAATCTCATGAGAGGGAAACTGAGGCTAGGAGGAGGGGGAGAGATTAAGCCAAGGCCATAAAGAAAGCTAATAGTGGGTCTAAGACTTGAACGCAGCCAGCCTTGAGAATGAATCTGGACATGACCTTGGACTGGAAACTGGACCTGGATCTCATTCCTGGACCCAAAACTTTTACCTGGACCTGTTCCTAGATGTTGAAACTTGAACTTGTATGTAGATTTGTCCTGGAAATCGGACCTGGACCTATAACCTCAGACGTTGACCTTGGACCTAGACCTTGGGCCTGATCCTAGACCTGAGGTTTGACATAGATATAGGAACTGGACCTGAGATCTGTACCCGGATGCTGGACTGGATGTTGGGCCTGGACCTAGACTTTGAACCTGGACCTCTGCCATATCTTTAACCTGGACCTTGGACTTGGACTAAGACCAAGATGCCAGGAGAAGAGGTGGTTATGGAAGACTCAGAAGGGCCTGCTGTGTGTCCTTGAGCACCTCCCTAGCCTTCTCTGGGCTCCCTCTTCCAAGGGATTGGGGAAGCCCTTTTGCATCCCTGCTCCCCAGATGGACTTTCTGAGGTGTGGGGTGGATGTGTGGCAGCTGGGGACATTCGGCTGGGCTCCCAGGCCTGGTCTGGGGCGACTACCTGGCGCCATCAGAGGGAGTGAGAGGAAGTGGGCACTGGTATAATGTGGTCAACTAGATAAGCCCATGGGTAGAAGTAGGAGAGCTTCCTCAGCCTGCTGGGTGAGGCTTAATGTAGCTGCAGAGGGCAGACAACTGCGTTATTGGATTGGCATTGATCCCTCCTCTGCCTGGGTCAGATGCACTCTGGGAGGGGATGGGGGTGGGACAGCGGCTGGGGCTGAGGAAGGGGGGCCTGGCTCCCAGCTGGAGCTCAGAGTTACAGTGTGAGGGGAGGTGGCCTCTCCAGAAGACATGCTTGGCAGGGGCTCACAGAGACCACTGCCATGCAGATGGATGAGCCGCCTGCGGTGGCTGAGAGTCCAGCATCCCTCAGGATGGGGCCCAGGTCTGGGAGGGGTGGGCTTGGTGGAGCTGGAGGGTGAGGTCCCAAGAGGGTTAGGAGGATGAGAGTTGGCAGCACCTCACGGAAAGACTGAGTCTGTGCTCAGAATCACCCCGCGGGGGAGAAGGGAGGGATTCCAGTGGAGGAGCAAGAGAGGCAGAGGCGAGAAAGGAAGCGTTTTATTGGAGGGGACAATGCAATTAGATCTTATTTCCCCTTGTCGGGGGTGGGGAGGCTCTGCAGAAGGACTTAGAGCTTTCCCCACTTGGGGAGTTTCCCTTCTCTATGTAGGGGTTCTGTGGGTTTGAGGGAGCCTGGAGCACAGACACACCTGCTGCGCCCTTTTCCCTGCCTGGCAGCAGAGGCTGAAAAGGAAGGGAGCAGGACGGCAAAGTGTGTGTGTGTGTGAGAGTGTGTGTGTGTGTGAGAGTGTGTGAGTGTGTGTGTGTGTGTGTGTGTGTGTGTGTGTGTGTGTGTGTGTAGGCATCCTGCAGTGTTTCCAGAGCTAGGGGTAAACCTCTCTAATTTGGGGTCCTGCATCTTTATCAGTCAGGAGCCTGTGGTTCCTCTAAACTCCACATTTACAAGCTCCCCCCACTCCTGCTGGAGCCTCCCCTACCCCCCCAGGGTCCCCTCCCACCAGCCTCATCCTGACCCTGCAGCCAGAGCTGCAGGAATGGCTTGTAAGAAGATCTTTCTAATAACTGGAACTATCTCCAGCCCCGGGCCCTCCCCCTTCCTCCCTCCCTCCCTGGCTCCCTCCCTTCCTTCTTCCTCCCTCTCCTCATCTTCCCCCCTCCTCTCTTTCTCCTTGTTTACCCAGCACACTTACACACGCTGGGAGAGGAAAACGTCAGCTCAGCAATTTTTCACACTTCCCTCAAATGCTCAGCAAGGTTATTTCCGGCAGAGCGGAGACAACGGGCCACCAGAAGCTGGCAGGTTCTCCGAGGACCCCCAGTGCCCTCCACCCACCCACGGATTGAGGGATCCCTTACTGCCCAGTGTGGCCACACCCCAGGGAGAGGAGAGGCTCCTGAAAACAGGACACGGCAGACCCTGTATTTCCTAGTCATACCCAGGCTTGAAGAGTCACCCCCCCATCTCTGGCACTGACCATCCACTGCAGACACTGCCAAGGTGGCCAGGCCAGGGTGCCTGTCCTCACCATGGGGCAGCCTGCAGAGACTGAAGCCAAGAAAATTGCCTGATCCCAGAAACTCTGCCACCCTCAGCCAGGTGGCGTATGCTCAATGGAGCCCTAAGGAAACCCTGACAATGGCCTCCCCGCATTCTGTTAGACCCTCATCCAATACCTCCCACCCCATAATTGACCTTCACAGAAGCTGAGCTTGTCAAAGTTAGAAGGACGCTTAGTTCATGCCATCTAAACGCTTTCACTGCTGGGAAGGCTGAGGACCAGAGAAGGGAAAGCATTTGCCCAAGGTCACACAGCAAATCAGAGATGTTAGAGCCCAGGCTTCCCGAGTTCCACACCAGGCATCTGGCAATCAGGATAGCCTCAGGATCTCCTAGAGGCCAGGAAGTTGGTCTGGAGCCCTTTGGGGAAAGGGACAAAGACAGAGGTGGTTCTAGAACGTTAAACCTGGTGGAACCTCCACAGAAACACCCTGTTGGTGGCTCTGCCCCCACCCGGCTTCCCACCATTCACTCAGGGGCTCCTTTCAAAGCTTTTTTGGACTGAATTCAAGGAAAGGCATTCTCTTGCCTCCTTCCTGAGGAACAGCCTGCAGTTTTGGCTGTGCATGGGAAATTCTCTGGGCTTCTCTGGGTTTCCTCTGCTGGCCTAGGGACAGGACCAAGGGCTGGAGGGGGGGTGGTGTTCAATGGGTGGGAACCCAGAGCTTTTTGTCAGTCCCCTAAGGGATCCCTATCGCAGTCTTGCAGATATTTCAGTTTCTACCACCCCCCAGCACACACTCCCGAGCCTTGGCATAGCCCCAGGTCCGCCCTCTGTCCTGCCAGCCCTCTGCCCAGCCATATCCCTGGGCTTCTGTCCTCGACCTGGAGAGGCCCTGGGGTCAAGAAAAGAGGACAGTAGAATAAGGGACAGGGGGCAGAGGAGAAGGGGGTTCTGTTGGAGATCTGGGGAGGCCAGAGGCTGAGGGGCTGTAGCTGTGTCACCAATCACTCCCTAACTTCTTTGACCTTGATGAGGTCACAGAGCCCTTTGCCCAGCACCCCCTCTCTACCTGGCGTGGCAGAGTGACAGAATGTGGGCGAAGTGCTTGGAAATCCCTGAGGTGGGAGCCCCCACCCTCCCAAGCTCCTGTCTTTGCCATCTCAGCTCCCCCCCAATCTTAAGCCCTTTCTTTCCTCCTTTTCCTCTTTTTTTCTCTCTCTCCTTCTTTCTCTCCCTCTCCCTCTCTCTCCCCCTTCACAACACACACACACACACACACACACACACACACACCCAAAGCTGATGCCACATGTGATGTCAGAACTCTCACTACCAAGGGACACCTCCTCTCCAGACACCTGCCCTGGTGGGGGCCCTCAAAGGAGAACATTTCTGTAATCCCCTGCATGGAGGATGGGGTCCACAGAAGCAGTCTCTACTTCGTCTCCCTACCCTCCAGACATCACCCCCTTCTGGGCCGGAATGACCTCTCTTGTCCCCCAAGCCCTTCTCCCTGCAGGAACTTGTTCTGAGAAGAGATGGAGAGTGTGGGGGGGGGGCTGGGGGCTTGCGAGGAGCAGCAGGGTTGGCTGGGGTGGTGGTGAGAAGACGGGGATGGGGTGGGAGTGCAGCCCAGGGGAGCGGGAGCCACTTTGGGGGAACCCCTCCCAGATATCTCCTCTTCCTTGCAGTCCCCAGGACAGGCACAGCCTTTGGCAGGCATGTGGCTGAGGGTAACAAAAGAGTTGTTGAGAGAGGGGGTCGGAGAGCACTTGTATGGCATTGCCAGCGGGAACAGGTTTGAAGGGAGGGAGGGCGCCCCCAGCTACCCCCAGGGAGCCAACCCCAACTCCCCAGGAACTGCTAGTCCGGGCCCCTTTCCATTCCCCACCGGGAGGGCACACTCAGGCAGCCAGCCTCTCTTTCTCAACCGGGCGAGGGGACCCTCGAACTGCCTTGTGCATTGGCCCCCTCAGCACTGGCCCTTCCTGAGCGGCCCTGTCTCTCTGTTCTCTCATCGCCCCCTCACTCCAGCCCTGTTCTAGGGCCACAACTTTCAAAGTCCCGGCTAGCGCGTGGCTGCGGGATGGGCCGACCCTGCGACTTTCCCTTTGTACGCCCTAGCCCCTGCCCCGCCCGCCTGGCCCTCGGGAAGCCTGGGAGGCGCACACGGCCAGAGAAATTTTCTCCCGGGGTTTCCTACCGCGCGCGCCCCTCCTCGTGGCCCAAGTTAGGGAGGGTCCCGGCTCCCCTCGCGTCTCCCCCTCCCGCCCCCGCTGGGTCCCACTCACCGTTGTCCCCGGGAGGCCCCCGGGCGCCAGGCAGCACGTAGGCGGTCTCCAAGGGGTGGTAGGTGGGGGCCGGCACCCCGCTGCACTGGAAGCCATCCCCTTTGATCTTCTTCACCAGGAAGGAGCGCGGCATGGTGCAACCGGCGGGGGGCTCGGCGGGGGCAGTTGCGTGGGGCCCCGGTGGGGGGAGGCGGCCGGCCGGGCGCGATTGGCTGTCCGCGCGGGGTTTCAGCACTGGACAGCTCCCAGCGGGCGGGCCGGCGGGCGGCAGCTCGGAGCCGGCACCGGTGGCGGCGGCCCGGGCTGGGGCTCCGGCTCCCGCTCGGGCTTGGCGGCGGCGGCGCACAGACAGGCGATCGCTGGAGCTGTGCTCAGCACTCCGGCTGCCGGCTTTATATGGGACGCAGGCTGGAGGAGATCAGGTGGTCCCCTAGCAATGGAACTGTTCAGCGCTCTAATCCATCAAATGTCCCCCAGGACAATCGCTCCGCACACGTTCCCCTGAACCGGCGGCGGTGGGGGCAGGCCAGGCGCAGGGAGCAGCGGGCAGGCAGGAGGGGAGAAAGTGAGGGCGAGAAAGGCGCAGAGAGACAGAGAGACAGAGAAAGGGGAGTGGGGGGAGAGACGGGGAAGAGAGACACGGAGAAAGACAGAGAGACATACAGGGAAAGAAAGACGCACACGCTGAAAGAGGTAGAAATAGAAGCAGAGAGACCAAGATAAGGACAAAAAGACACAAGAGAGAAACAGAGAGAGAAGAAAGACAGAGATGGAGAGAAGTAGCAACACACACACACACACACACACACACACACGCACACACACGGAAAAGAGGGATCCAGACACACAAAAAGGAAGCCCCCCAGGGATGCAAAGAAAGGAAAAGAAAAGTGCAAAATAGAGGGAGAAGCTAAGGGCAGCGGAGGGAGAGCGTCCGAGCACATGGGGACCCAGGGCAGGCGACGCGAAGGAAAGAGGTGCGCTCGCCGGCGCAGCCCTCCCGCCTCCAGTCCTCTCCCGCTCCCCCCGTCCCGAAGTGGCCGCTGTGGACACTCAGCTTTAACTAGAGGAAGTCTCCCCCACCCCTCACTGCTTGGGCTGGCGCTGGAGCCCCCTGTTGGGTTTGGGGTTCAACTTTCTTCTCCCAGAACTGGTGGGGGAATGAGTCCCCCACGCCGCCGCCTGGCCTCGCTCAGCCGGTCCTGTTCCGGTGCCTAGCTCAGGCCGGCGCTGCAAGAGGAAGTGAAAATCGTCCAGTAATTAATTTTCCTGCTGCTGGGGGGGTGGTGGTTTTGACACATCCGAGGCTGTGTCTTTCCCTGAAGCGGGGAGCAGACAATAGAGACACGTGGACCGGGAAGGGAGAAGGGGGAAGGGAGGGGGAGCGGGGCTCCTGCTGGAACTCTTTGCAGGTCAGCTCCTTTGTCTCCGGAAGGATCTGAGCAGACCCCCTCCAATTGCACCAAAACCTGGGGGAGCCCCCATATCTTGGCAGGACCAAAGAGCAGGAGAACTCAGCATTGCTGGGCAAAGCTCCATGGTGGAGGGCCGGCCTCAGCAAGCGTGGGATGGCCAGTGCACAAGAGTTCCCCAATGCGACTCTAGGAATGCCAGGCTCTCACTGGTCAATGGCATTTCATTTATGGGCTGCAAGGCTGCTGGAGTGAGGATATCCCTTTGGGACTGGGTCATCCAACACCAGTCCGGAGGCTAAGACCTAAAGAGGGCATGGAGGTGCCTGAGTTCACACAGTGAGTCAGCAGCAATTGCCAGATAGCTCAGTGGCTCTGGGTACCACTGCCTCAGCCTACCATGCTCCTTGAGGTGTGGCTTAGAAGCCTCAGAATGAAATTTGGGCCCTTGATCTTGCCAAGGCCCTGCCTTATCTGGAGGTTCCTGACCATCTTTCCAGTTGTATTGCCTCATAGTTTGTCCCCAGGACTTTTTTAACCTCAGTCTCTGAGAGTTGAGGTGACCACACCCTGCCTCAGGGCACACCCTGTATTCTCTATTCCAGCCACAGGAGCCAACTTCCAGCTCTTCAGTCTTTGTGTTCTCTTGGTCTGCCCCCATTTCTGCCGCCCAGAGTGTCCTTGCCTCCATTTCATCCTAGCAAACCCCTACTTGTCCTGAAGACTTAGCTGAGGCATCACTTCCTCCAGGAAGTGTCCCTGACTGCCGTCACTGTGAACTGGACCAGCTCACCCATTAGTCCCTGAGCTTCATGAGGACAAGGACTATGTCCCACGTATAGCTCAGCACTCTCTTAACAGTGTGCACTAGGGTCTTCCAGCTCCTCTACTTACTAGCCATGGGATCTCGGGCAAGTCACTCAACCTCTCTGTGCCTCAGTTTCCCCAGCTATAAAATGGGAATCATAATTAGGGCTACCTCAAGGTTGTTAGGAGCATTACAAGAGTTGCTACATAGAAAGGGCTTGGAATGGTGACTGACGTATAGTAGGTGCTCAGTGCATGGGGGTTCTATGTATACAGTTGTGCCTGTATATATAGCACTCATTTATCACATGTTTGTGGGATTCTGGGGAATAAGTGGTGAACTAGACATCCTTGTCTCTGCTCTCTTGGAGCTGATGTTCAAGGGAAAGTGGATGGACATAAACAAGGAAAACCTTAAATCAACAATACCCTTTCAAATATTTGTCCAGGGCTGCGAGGGACACAAAACAGGGTGAGATGATGGAGAGTAATGATGCCTTGAAACAGGGTGGTGGCCAGCAAGGGTCTCCTGGGAGGGATCACATTCGAGCTGAGACTTGAGCCAGCCATGGGAGGATCCAAGGAAAGACTGCTCCAAGTAGAGGCTTCACAAGTTCAGAGGTGCCAAGGCAGGAATGAAATCGGGCCAGTTGAGGAACAGCAAGAACTGGAGGAAGATGAGTTCAAGAAGTTGGCACAGCCCGAACCTGGAGGGAACTCAGTAAATCCTGAATAAATGAATGAATGAATGAATGAATGAATATGATGGTGAGATTCAGCCTATATCTACACACTATAACTATAACTAGGTAGACTTATTGGTTGGAGAACAACTTTTTGCTGCTCGCACAGAGCAAGTTGTTTATTTGTTCAGTCATTGTGGGTTATTCATGGTGTAGCCCTATGTTTGAGTTTGTGCTGGTATTGGGATCTCTGACCTCTGGGGATACCTAGTCCGGTGAGGGTAGATAAGACAAGTGGATACCAACGAGCTCATCTCTGCCTGTCTGTTGGTCCTACCACTTCAACCTCCTGCATAAGAGATGGCAAAACTGAGCCAAAGTGCTTAACAGGGAACTTAGATTCACAGCAACTTAGGGACAGAGCTGGGACTGGACTCTCTCATTATGTCTTCTCACTGAAGGGGTAATCCATCCCTTAACTGATCAGAAGAGTCCTCATAGAAGTGACATATTAAGGTCCTGCAACCCATCAGTGTCAGGATGAGGATAAGATCTCAGGTCTCTGACCCCAAGGTGGCAGGGGCACCTTTAGCAGATAAGAAGAAACCTTCAGCCCAGACGCTGGGGTTCCGAAATGCTTTCAAGGGAGGAGGCCTTAAGCGTGGATGAAATACACAATGGCCAGCACAGTGTCATCACTAGGACACCAAGAAGGGCTTTCTGTCCCACGAACCTCCCCCAGTCCCAGCTTACTGGTTTCAGAAAGTCCTGTTAGGAATTCATCTCTCCAAGTCACATCAAATAAGGAGAGAACGTTTATTTCCAAGGATGTTTCCCGCAGCATCGGAGACTGGAATAAAAACCCCAAGCTGGAGAAAGTGAGGAGGGGGTTGCGAGGAAGACATCCGCTCGACAGAATATTCTGTAGCCATTCAACATTGTCATGGGGAAAAGCTCATAGAATTATGTTGAGTGGAGGACACAGAATCCAAAAATCTCTCACGGCATGTTCACAACTGTGAACCAAAATAAAAATAAACATGCATAGAAAAGTGAAAGAAGGGTGTGGGACTGCAGGGCTCCCCCACTGCTTTTTGTATTTTCCAGAAAGATCACAAAATATTTCAGTACAGCAAACGTTTATCTTGAGCACTTGTTGATTATCCACTTACTTCTAAATAGAAGAAATGACAGAGTTTAGTAAAACACATCAGGGTGTTCTTTCTTCATTCTCCTGACTTTTGGGAAGACAGGGTTGCCGGGGGCAAATTTTTCCAGTGACAACGATGGTTATTGTTACCTCAACAGTCATACCGCTGAGCAGCTCCCCGTGCCTGGCGCTGTGCGAAGCACTTCCCCTTTGGAGAAGCCGACCTTGCCTGGGCTTTCGGTTGAGGGGTTTGGAGGCAGCCTGTTTTAGTTCAGATTCCTGTTCTGCCATTTCCCAGCCCTATGATTCTCTGTGCCTCTATTTTCTCATCTGTGAAATGGGGATATAAATAGAATCCATTTCATAAGGTTGCAGTGAGATTAAATGATAATGTACCTGTAAAGTGCTTAGAGCAGTACGTGAGACACAGGAACTTGATAAGTGTTGACTATTGTTATATGTTAATATGTATCGTCACTCATCTCTATTACTGGCCTGTTCTACAGGTGGGGGTGAAATGACTGGCTCAAGGTACATGGCCACTGTGTGGAGGAGCTGGGGAGGGTCCCATGTCTATGTGGCCCACCACCTGCCTCCCCAGGAGCCCCAGGCTTGGCATAATGGGTCTAGCTGGGGGGGGGGTGCACACAGGTCTGCCCCTTCCTGCCCTGCTGAGCTTGCTATGGTGTCCTTCAGATTTCACCTGTGCCCTGCCCATGATGTAGGAGGACAGCCACCAGGGTCTGGGTGTGAATCTCCGGGCTGTGTGACCCTGGATGGCTGGCAGAGCCGCCATGAGCCTCGCCCGGCACATCTATAAAGAGGGCATCAGCCCATTTGCAGGCTTCACCCTGCGGTGCCAGGAGGGAGCACCGACCTGGGAGACAGGAGCCCCATTCCAGCCCCAGCTCTGCTCCCTCTGTTCTCCCTTCTGGGCCCCGGCTTTCTTGTCTGTCAAATGGGAATGGGACAAGACGGTCCCTGAGCTGCTGTCCAGAGCTGATAATGGAATTCTGTACGAATTCCAAGGAGGAGAGTAGCCACAAATGCATTCGCTCCGCGCTGATGGGGCTCTTTCTCC